ATATATGTATGTATATATGTATGTATATATGTATGTATATATGTATGTATATATGTATGTATATATGTATGTATATATGTATGTATATATGTATGTATATATGTATGTATATATGTATGTATATATGTATGTATATATGTATGTATATATGTATGTATATATGTATGTATATATGTATGTATATATGTATGTATATATGTATGTATATATGTATGTATATATGTATGTATATATGTATGTATATATGTATGTATATATGTATGTATATATGTATGTATATATGTATGTATATATGTATGTATATATGTATGTATATATGTATGTATATATGTATGTATATATGTATGTATATATGTATGTATATATGTATGTATATATGTATGTATATATGTATGTATATATGTATGTATATATGTATGTATATATGTATGTATATATGTATGTATATATGTATGTATATATGTATGTATATATGTATGTATATATGTATGTATATATGTATGTATATATGTATGTATATATGTATGTATATATGTATGTATATATGTATGTATATATGTATGTATATATGTATGTATATATGTATGTATATATGTATGTATATATGTATGTATATATGTATGTATATATGTATGTATATATGTATGTATATATGTATGTATATATGTATGTATATATGTATGTATATATGTATGTATATATGTATGTATATATGTATGTATATATGTATGTATATATGTATGTATATATGTATGTATATATGTATGTATATATGTATGTATATATGTATGTATATATGTATGTATATATGTATGTATATATGTATGTATATATGTATGTATATATGTATGTATATATGTATGTATATATGTATGTATATATGTATGTATATATGTATGTATATATGTATGTATATATGTATGTATATATGTATGTATATATGTATGTATATATGTATGTATATATGTATGTATATATGTATGTATATATGTATGTATATATGTATGTATATATGTATGTATATATGTATGTATATATGTATGTATATATGTATGTATATATGTATGTATATATGTATGTATATATGTATGTATATATGTATGTATATATGTATGTATATATGTATGTATATATGTATGTATATATGTATGTATATATGTATGTATATATGTATGTATATATGTATGTATATATGTATGTATATATGTATGTATATATGTATGTATATATGTATGTATATATGTATGTATATATGTATGTATATATGTATGTATATATGTATGTATATATGTATGTATATATGTATGTATATATGTATGTATATATGTATGTATATATGTATGTATATATGTATGTATATATGTATGTATATATGTATGTATATATGTATGTATATATGTATGTATATATGTATGTATATATGTATGTATATATGTATGTATATATGTATGTATATATGTATGTATATATGTATGTATATATGTATGTATATATGTATGTATATATGTATGTATATATGTATGTATATATGTATGTATATATGTATGTATATATGTATGTATATATGTATGTATATATGTATGTATATATGTATGTATATATGTATGTATATATGTATGTATATATGTATGTATATATGTATGTATATATGTATGTATATATGTATGTATATATGTATGTATATATGTATGTATATATGTATGTATATATGTATGTATATATGTATGTATATATGTATGTATATATGTATGTATATATGTATGTATATATGTATGTATATATGTATGTATATATGTATGTATATATGTATGTATATATGTATGTATATATGTATGTATATATGTATGTATATATGTATGTATATATGTATGTATATATGTATGTATATATGTATGTATATATGTATGTATATATGTATGTATATATGTATGTATATATGTATGTATATATGTATGTATATATGTATGTATATATGTATGTATATATGTATGTATATATGTATGTATATATGTATGTATATATGTATGTATATATGTATGTATATATGTATGTATATATGTATGTATATATGTATGTATATATGTATGTATATATGTATGTATATATGTATGTATATATGTATGTATATATGTATGTATATATGTATGTATATATGTATGTATATATGTATGTATATATGTATGTATATATGTATGTATATATGTATGTATATATGTATGTATATATGTATGTATATATGTATGTATATATGTATGTATATATGTATGTATATATGTATGTATATATGTATGTATATATGTATGTATATATGTATGTATATATGTATGTATATATGTATGTATATATGTATGTATATATGTATGTATATATGTATGTATATATGTATGTATATATGTATGTATATATGTATGTATATATGTATGTATATATGTATGTATATATGTATGTATATATGTATGTATATATGTATGTATATATGTATGTATATATGTATGTATAT